ATATATATATATATATATGTACTATCACGGTATACATTATAACATATACATGTATTATCACATCGTAGGTCATAATATATAATTATACGTCACACATACAATTATACATCATAGTAAACACATGTACTTCTATATCATATGTCATAAAAAATACATGTACTTACATACCCTACAAAAGGATAAGAACAAGAAGGATAAGATTCTTAGGCTACAGGGAGAGCTTAGGCTTACCAAATCAATATTAAACTATTATTTAATTAGTGTTATAGGTAGGTTACATGTGAACCCCTCTAACGAGGCAATTGAACATCTTTCTTGACAACACATGATCAAATTATTTAGCACGCAAAAGCATCATTTACTCCCCTTAGTAGTATTGTGTTGAAATGGTGGTGACCTGCTGATAATGTTTGTATATTTGTCTTGCAATAACAAATACGTTAAGCGTTTGTAGTCCAACGGTTAGGATAATTGCCTTCCAAGCAATAGACCCGGGTTCGACTCCCGGAAAACGCAGTAATGATTTTTTATTTTCCTTTTAGTGTCAATTTTTGCGTTACCCCATTCGTTTGATAGGTATTTATTTATTTATTTTGGACTATGACATGAATGTTTCTATACAAAACCAATTTAGTTGAAACGATGATATCCTCACATTTAATTTATCAATCATCGGTCTTATAGATCCAAAACAATTATATATATATATATATGAACAATGAATCACCTGATAATTGAATATAATGCAAGTATTAATTAATAATGGAGACTTATTTCGGTGTTGAATTGGACGCCGAGGTTGTGGTCGTATAATATTCTCAACCTGCAAATGAGCGGAACGATATATATCGTCATCGTAATAAGATATATTTTTTATAAAAATTGAAACAGTAGCGTTTGTAGTCCAACGGTTAGGATAATTGCCTTCCAAGCAATAGACCCGGGTTCGACTCCCGGCAAACGCAATATTAAAAATTTTTCCCTTCTATTATTAATTTTTGCTTTACGCATACGTTTGATAGAGATTTTGGTTGGCATCACCAGACACGGAAATGCATGCGAGTGAAAGAAAGAGCAGTAGTGAACACGCCATTTACGTAACCCATAACACACTCTTGCAATTATATGTTGGGAAAAAGATACGATAAAGAAAAGGATAAAAAATACTATGGAAACAAATAACAAACATAAGATCAAGAATATTTTAGGAAAAATATTTAGGCTTGAAACGTGTATAAACGCTTTCCTAAAATCGATATTTGTACCCTCTTCTCAATAAGATTGTTATGGGTTTGATGCAAATAGTGGATATGACAAGCCTTTAAATGATCGAGCAAACAATAAAGAATCTTCTGAGAGGAATTAGAGAATATCAAATAACAAACAAAGAAAAGGATAAATAACACTATGGTAACAAATAACAAACACAAGATCAAGAATACTTTAGGAAAAATATTTAGGCTTGAAACGTGTATAAACACTTTCCTAAAATCGATATTTGTACCCTCTTCTCAATAAGATTGCTATGGGTTTGATGCAAATAGTTTTAGTGGATATGACAAGCCTTTAAAAGATCGAGCAAACAATAAAGAATCTTCTGAGAGGAATTAGAGAATGTCTAACTCAATCACTTGGAGAGTAAAGAAGAAGAGCATGAAAGAGTTGTCTTTGTAATTTACCCTCAAATACCTATTTATAGATATTTTCTCAAAAGACACGACCTTTGAAAATTAACTATTTTATCAAAAGACATGACCTTTAAAAAATAACTACCAAAAAATAAAAGAAAACACCTTTTCAAATAAATCTTTTGAAAAAAAATTCTTTTTTCTTTTTAATTTGAATAATTTATAACAATCTCCCACTTATTCAAATTTAAAATTTTCTCCAAGTGATTAAATAGTATTTATGAATAAAATAATATATCTTTCGATTTGAATATTACCTTAATGTAAGCATCACAAAGTGAAGTCGAAATCCCAAATAGCATAAAAGCTTTGAATTTGTTATTCCTCATGACAACACCAGTGATACCACACACATAAATACAACATTCTCGTATTCCTCATAAAATCTCGCTTAGCCCTAATATGGCCTTGGGCTCATCCAAGTTCATGAACTTTTATGAGAGAAACTCCAACTCTCAATCGAAGCGGCATCACTTCTAAATTCATATAGGTGAAATTCTTATAGTATCTTTGTCACTCTTTGAGATACTTGTCCTAACTTGACTGAACTTCATTAAGAGTATAATTAACTCAACCCTCATTCGGTAACACTTTAACATCTTTAGATGGGACTCATAAAATATTTCAAAGTGTTGAACCACTCCATATATCAATGATTTGTTCTTACCCTTTAAACTCTTCATTACTCATTTCATAATGTTGAGTAGGGTTGCTATCATTGGTGGATCTTTTATTCAAGGAGTTTTAGCCCCGTCCATTTTGATGTTGATCTTACAACTTCTCTTGTAAGAGATTTGGTGAATGGATCAGCCAAATTCTCACTTGTTTTCACAAATGTGAGTGAAATAATCCCACTCTTAATTAATTTCCTCACATAATCATGTCTAAGACTTATATGTCTTGACTTTCCATTATATATTTCACTATACGCACGAGTTAAAGTGGCTTGACTATCACAAAGTATAGAAATTGAATTCGCACTCTTAGAAGTCAATGGAATTTCTAATAGAAAGTCCCTCAACCATTCAGCCTCATTTCCTGCATTTGCTAGAGCAACAAATTCTGATTCTATAGTTGAGTGAGTTATACACGTTTGTTTCTTGCTCTTCCAAGAAACAGCACCACCTCCCAAGGTGAACACCCAACCAGTAGTGGATTTGTTATCTCCAAAACTCGATATCCAACTTACGTCAGTATATCCTTCTAAAATAACAGAAAATTTTGAGTATTGTAGGCCATAATCTTTGGTTCGTTTAAGGTACCCAAGAACTCTTTCAATAGCCTTCCAATGCTCTACATTTGGATTGCTAGTAAATCTACTCAATTTAGTAACTGCAAATGCTATATCAGGTCTTGTGCACTACGTTGCATATATAAGACTTCCTATAGCACTTGAATATTCTAATTGAGCCACTATTCTTCCAACATTCTTGACTAATTTGATACTTGGGTCAAATGAGGTATTTGCTTCTTTGATTTTTAAGTGACTGAATTTCTCCAATACTTTCTCTATGTAATGAGTTTGACTCAAAACATATCCCCCACTATTTCTTTTTACCTTGATACCTAGTGTTGCGAGGGACAACTGTTTGCCGTGGGCTCAGGGCTGACGTGGCCTAGTTCGGGTCCGAATGTGCAAGGGTCTGGCGCGGCGCTCCTTGGGCCAGCTGGGGTGGTCGGTCGAAGCCGTCCGAGGGGGTGGTGTAGTGTGGGGGGTGGAGCCTCGACGGGACGTCAGGAAAGTGTGTCATCGCCTTTGTTCCTGCACACAGGTCGGGTCGAGAGCTCAACCCGACCCCTCCGACGATCAAGTTAGGAGATATGGTAGAGAGTTTGCTTTTCTTTTTCTCCCCCTGCCTGTTTAGAGTGCATGGGTATTTATAGGGGGGCTTACCGTTACCTAACGTACCCGCTTGTGTGAGGCCGGGTCGCACCTCTGATGGCGTCTGACACCGTTACTAGCGTTGTGTGGGGAACCGTATCGTCGCAGGGTATGGGCGAGGGTCAGTAGACGTCCTGCCCTGCCATGGTCAGGTGTGAGGGGCTGGAAGTTGTCGCCTGATAGCGGGTGACGCCAGCGCGAGTCGAGTCGGCGTTATTGCCTTCCGCATCGGGTAGGGTGGCGCCCAGGTGACATGTCATGTTGCCATTATTTCCCCTATCACCTAGTATAGTATCAACTTGCCCAAGATCTTTCATCTTAAATGTTGAAGATAGAAACCTCTTTGTTTCTACAATACCTTTCATGTTGTTGCTCACTATTAGCATATTATCAACATAAAGGCAAACTATCACCATATAGTCATCACAAGTTTTGAGATAAACACATTTATCTACAATATTATGAACAAATCCATTAAAAAGAATTATTGCATCAAATTTCTCGTGCCATTTGTTTTGGAGCCTACTTTAAACCATACAATGACCTAATAAGTTTACACACTTTATGTTCATTTCCCGATATAACAAAACCTTCGGGTTGTTCCATATATACCTTCTCATCGAGGTCTCCATTTAGAAATGTTGTTTTGATATCCATTTGATGAACATAAAGATCAAAAATTGAGCTAAAGTGAAAATAATTCTAATAGATGTGATCGTAGTCATATGAGCATATGTGTCAAAATAATATATTCCTTCCTTTTGTCGAAATCCTTTAGCAACTAACCTTACTTTGAACGTTTGGAGAGTACCATTTGTATGATACTTCCTATAAAATATCTATCTACAATTAATATGTTTTTAGGCAAAAGGTAAATCGACAAGTTCCCAAGTATGGTTTGATATAATAGAATCCATCTCATCATTAATAGCATTTTTCCAAAAAGCAGCATCACGAGAAGCCATAGCTTCTTTAAATGTTTTAGGATCATCTTCTACTTGTAAAATAAGAGGAATTGTTTTTAATACTCTCTCATTAGTTCCTTCTACGAGGTAAAAAGAAATACTTTGAGAATCAATCTCATCCGATCTTAATGTTTTTGCTTTTGGTACACGAGTGATTCTCCTTAATTCATAAGATTGCTCTCCAACCTCTTGTGAACTTGATTGATGTCCAATCAAAGGAATTTTAGGTTGTTCACCAACCTTTTGAGATTTTTTCACTAGTTACTCTTCACTAGTTGGAGGATGAACATTATTACTAGAAGTCAATAAATGTTCAAAGAACTCCACATCTCGAGATTCTACTTTGATATTAGACTCCAAATTAAGAAGTATATATGCTTTGCTATTTGAGGCATAGCCTATAAATGCACATTTGATTCCTCTAGGTCCCAATTTTATCCTTTGAGGATCATTATTCTTACAATATGCAAGACACCCCCACACTTTAAAATAACCAATGTTAGGTTAGCATTGACATGCAGCTATGACATGCAGCTAATAAAGCTAATTATATTTAAGATGGAGAGATCTTATTCTTATTCTTTTTAGAGAGAATTATATTTAAGATATGACATGCAGCTAATAAAGCTTCTCCCCACAAATTATAAGATAATTTAGCATGCAACAACATAGCATTAATCATCTCTCGATAAGTTCTATTTTTTCTTTCTGCTAATCCATTTTGCTCAGGTGTTCTAGGTGCTGAACATTCATGAATTATGCCATGTTGTTCACAAAACAAGTTAAATTCATTAGGAAAGTATTCTCCTCCTCTATCACTTCTTAAAGCTTTAATTTTCTTCCCCAATTGAATTGATTTTCAATTTCTGCTTTATATGCCTTAAAAGCATTAAAAGCATCATTTTTATGTTTCAATAAGTACACATATGTGAATCTAGACATATCATCTATAAAAGAAATAAAATATCTATTATCTCCTCTCGTTAATATGTCATTTAATTCACATATATCAGAATATATTAAATCTAACAAATTAGTATATCTTTCAACACTTTTGAAGGGTTTCTTCATTTAACACAAATTTCACATTTATTAAGATCATCAAAATGATAATTTATTAAGCCACACTTAACCATTCTTCTAATCATGCTAATTCCAATATGTGCTAATCTATCATGCCATAATGAATAAGAATCAACAATATAAATAGAAGCAACATCTTTATTAACTTTAGAATCATTATCAACAATAGATAATTTGATCATTCCCTCAGCGGAATAGCCTTTTCCAACAAAAGTTCCATTACGAGATAGAATTAACTTCCCGGATTCAAATACAGATTTAATTCTAGGTTTGCCAAGGAGATTCCCACTCACTAAATTTCTACTCATATCCAGTACATGAAGAACATTAGTAAGAGTGACTTTCTTACCTGAAGTGAAAGTGAGTTCCACATTTCCTTTGTCAATCACCTTAGAACGAACTTCATTTCTCATTTGAATCTCTTGCCCTTCTGTGACTTCTTTGTAAGTCTTGAAGAGTCTCTTATCATAACAAACATGGACGGTAGCACAAGTATCATACCACCAACCAGAAACCTTGCCAAATATGGCATTCACTTTGCTCACCGTAGCGATTATATTATCATCTCCCTCAATGGAGTTGACTTTTGGTTTCTGGCCTTTTTTAAAATCTGTAATCCCTAGCAAAATAACCAGGTTTTTCACAAACAAAATAGCCTCCACTCTTTGGCTTCTTAAATTTTCTTTGATCCCTTTTGGGGGCCAAAATGATTCACCTTGTTTTGTTTGCTTTTGTTGGAATTCTTAGGCTGATTCACAACATTTGCTTTTATATTGCATAAAGAGTTCTCACTCTTGTCTCTCATCCTCGATTCCTCCTCGATTCGAAGATGTTTTTGAATTTCCTCCAAAGTGATATCCTTGGAGTCATACAAAATCTTCTTCCTATACCCTTTCCAAGATGAAGGCAACTTGGCTATTACAGCCCCTACTTGAAAAGGTTCAGGAAGTTCGATTTTTTCAGCCTTCAATTGATTAACAATGACCTGCAACTCATGCACTTGTGCCAAGATTGGCTTGCCATCCACAAACTTGTAATCAAAATATTTAGAAATTAAAAATTTCTTTGTACCTTCTTCCTCGGCATGATATTTAAATTCCAAAGCATTCCAAATTGCTTTTGCAGATGGTTCCACCGTATAAAGATCATAAAGCCGGTCCGAAAGAGCATTGAGAATGTGTCCTCTACACATGACTTCATCTTCATTTCTTTTCTTTTGTTCAGCCTTGATTTCATTAGTGTCATCGTCGGTTGGATCAGGAATTGGTTGAAGATTTGGATCAAGCACATAGAAGATCTTCAAAGCAGTCAACATGAACTTCATCTTGTCTTGCCAACGGGTAAAATTCGTTCCATCAAAACGATCCAAACGAACAAAATCTTGATTCAATAATTTGATGGTATTTGTAGCCTCCACAGTGAATTTGTATAAACTCACAAACTATCGTTTTTAGATTGTTGGGAAAAAGATACGACAAAGAAGATGATAAAAACACTATGGAAACAAATAACAAACACAAGATCAAGAATACTTTAGGAAAGATATTTAGGCTTGAAACGTGTATAAACACTTTCCTAAAATTGATATTTGCACCCTCTTCTCAATAAGATTGCTATGGGTTTGATGCAAATAGTTTTAGTGGATATGACAAGCCTTTAGAAGATCTGTATTGAGCAAATAATAAAGAATCTTCAGAGAGAAATTAGAGAATGTCTAACTCAATCACTTGTAGAGTAAAAAAGAAGAGCATGAAAGAGTTATCTTTGTAATTTACTCTCAAATACCTATTTATAGATATTTTCTCAAAAGACGCAACCTTTAAAAATTAACTATTTTCTCAAAAGACACAACCTTTAAAAAATAACTACCAAAAAATAAAAGAAAACACCTTTTCAAATAAATCTTTTGAAAAGAAATTCTTTTTTTCTTTTTAATTTGAACAATTTATAACATTATATGCTCCATAGCCATGGTTATAGCCACGTACACCAATACCAACATACGCTCCCTATCTCCTTTCAGCATCAACATCGTAGAAGCACATCTCATTCTCCAGAAATCTGGTATCGCTCATCGTAGAAGCACCTTTTATTCTTATAGCTTCCATACTTCTCATTGGGTTTGGTGTTGGGGAAGCTCGAAGAGAAACCATCAGCATCGTAGTGAGCATCACCGTTACTGTTGTAGCTTCAGCATGAGGGGAAGAGGAGATGGCGAACAGAAGGAAGGTTAGGAAGAAGTGCTACCCCACAAAGGAAGCCATGGGAGATGGTATTAAAGTGAGCAGTTATTTATAGAGGGACATATTTTATTTATCATGAGAAATATTGTTAACATCTCGTATGTGTCAATCTTTTATGATAACCAAACTTAGGATAAGTCAAATTATTATCAGTTTAATAACATAACTAAATATTTCTATAAAGTCAACACCATATCATTGATGAAATAATTTAGCCACTAGATGCGCTTTATATTTGGCAATAGATCCATCTGAGTTCCTCTTTATAACAACATGAAGGCCAGGGACTTGATACAGTTTAAAAATGTCACTTTTGGAGCGTGGTGTCATAGGATGTCTAAGTGCAATGGGATTGTTATGTTGTGTTGTAGGTATAGGTATTGGTGGAGAATCATTGACACGAACTTGATCACACTGAGATACTTCGGTGTCATTGGGTCGAGGAGAAGACAAAGACATTAGTTATGGTTCCGAGAGTATTGCTTCATCAGCCATTGTAAGGTGAATTTGTGAAGAAGTAGAGCAGTAGAGGGAATGGGGAGCTACTGAATTAGAGTAATAAGGGAATGTATATCTTGATGGGAAGTATTAGATGGCATGACGAGAGGTTTGTTTGGGGGGGGGGGGGTTTGAGGTGTACTCTAGTGATGTATAGTTGTTGGAGTGGCTCGTATGACTGAAGATCTATGCTTTTGGAAGGACAAGATAGACTTGATAAAAATGACATGGCGTGATATGAAGACTTTTTGAGTTTGAGAATCATAGCATCAAAATATTATATTAAAAAGAGTATCCTATGAAGATGTAAGACTTAAATCTTGGTGTTATCTTATGTGAAGCATAGGAGCGTATCCATGAATAACATAAACAATCAAATACTTTGATTGTTTGAAGGTTTGAGATTTTGTGAAATAGTTTTTTAAATAGTGACTGATGTTGTAGGACTGGAGTGAGCATGCGATTAATGAGGTAGACTATAGTTTGAAAGGCTGTTGACCAAAAGATTGGTGGCATAGAAGCTTGGTGTAGAAGGGTGAGATCAATTTCAACTATTTATCGATGTTTTATTCAACAGAGCCAACTAATTGAGGAGTGTGTGATGGTGACTTGAGGTATTGTATACCACAAGATGAGAGAGATATTTTTAGGATTTGATATTCACCTCCACTATCAAAGTAAACTATTTTAATTGTAGGCTAGAAGAAGTTCTCGACCAATTTTCTAAAGTGGGTAAAGGCTATCAAGATTGCATTTGTGTTTGAGAGGATATAATCATATATGCTTAGTAAAATAATCTACGTAAATAACATAAAATCTGAAATTATCAAAAGAAGTGGTTGGGGCAGGTCCCTAGACATCGGTGTAAATAATTTTAAATAGTTTAGAACGGGATAAGAAAGACATTCTAAAATGTAATGTATGACTTTTATTGCTAAGACAAGCATCACAATAATTTATAATGCTATTAGTTTTGAAAGTTAGAAGAGAATAATAAGAAAGTAGATATTGTTGAATAGAGAAAGAGGATGACCAAGATGATGATGCTACACATCAATGGGAGTAGCAACTGAAGAAAGAGTGATTAGCTAGGTGATTTATGAAGCTGACGATCACCCGTAAACGTTGTCTTTATTTTGGTTCCAAACCAAGGATGCCCCTGTGCTCAAATCCTTTACCATAAAGGAGTCAAGAAAATATTTAATTGAGATATTATTTTATTTATAAAATTAAGAAATAAAAATAAAATTCATTTTAACGTGAGGTGCACACAGAATATCATCAAGTATAAAAGTGATGGTGTATGAATTAAATATTATAGTAACAATATGAGTAATAGGGATTCCATTACCATCACCAATGATGATATCTTCATGCCTTTATAGTCGTTATGGATGGATAAGTTTTGTAAATTAGATGTGATATGATGAGAAGTACCAGAGTTCATAATCCAATTGTTTGGTCGAGTAATCGGAGTATCATGATATTTGCTTAAGGCCAACTAGGTGTAGTAGTAAATCTGGGTCAAGACCAACAGACTTTTGTTGAGTGTTTGACTTTATCACATAGTTGGTAAACAACTCTTTGTTAGTTGTATTGTTGGTATGCTAGGGTTGCTGATGGTTATTGAAGTTGTCACCCTGGTTGTTGTTGAAGTTGCCACTGGGATTGAAAGGTTGATGGTGTAATAGATGAGGATATGTTTATATATTACCTATATGTCTAGGAGACATCTTAGTTAGTCCTTTGTTGATGTTCTTATGGCTTTAGTTGCTCTTTTTTTTAGATTTTTTATTGACTTGAGCTGTGATGGTTAGTCCTATCATCTTTTCGTCACATTTTAAATATATTTTATAATCAATCAACTTATTATATAGTTCTTCGAATGACATCTCTCGTGCCCGAATCACTATCACCAATATCTTGCATTCGTCTCATAGGCTATTGAGAGTATGAATAATAACTTCTTCATAGGCTATGGATCCAACGATTGAGACTTGAATTTTTTAGATGATAAGACGATCTTGACATAACTATAGTTTATGAGTAGAATTTTATACTAGACTGGGTTCTCCTAGTATTTAAATCTTTTTTGATGGACAATTGAGAGAATCATCGACGTAGCCTAGTAAACCATATCCAAATAGGAGATTAGAGAATTATGCTTGCCAAGATGCATAGTTGCTGCCCTTAGATAATTTAAACGGAATCAATGTTATAGTATTGACGAAGATAAGTCCTATATGTGGAGAAGAACTATTGTTCCCTGTGGGAACCAAAACTAGAGCATCAGATATAGATGATGAAGACATTTTGAGAATGTGCACTAATCTGACAGAGTAAGCTAATAGGTGGATGTGTGATCAGGAAGGTTTCCCTTCTTGGGGAGATGTCGGTGAGGAAGAAATACTAAGGAGAAAGTTGCTCGTGAGAATACTGTTATTGCTGGTGGGAGGAGAGGTTCTACTACTGTTGTAACAACAACAACAACTGCATAAGGTGTTATCGCAATGGGAAGACCTCATTCCTCTCCTCGATTTCTTGGACACTTGGGATTCAAGGGTACACCTAATGATTAGATCAGAGAAGATGGAGGGGTGATCATGGTGGGAAAGAGAGCAAGTGGTGGAGAATACCATGTAGCATAAGAGGAGAAGTAGGGGAAAGTTGTAGCTGTCGATCTCTAAAGCAGAACGACGAATGAGGTAGGCCTCGATCGCCTCCTGGAACATGTTTAGAGATTAGCGATAGATGGCTGCGACTGCTCTCTCTCATCGTTAGCGAGACATCATAAGAGGAAGAAGTCTATCACTATGTCTTTCAAAGCTTGCTATTGTCAAGGAGATAAGAGTAATTGGTATCACTGGACCAAGGAAGGAAGAGAAAATCTTGGTAAGAGAGGCTATGATACCATGATGAAGGACGTGATAGATGCAATGAAGAAGATGAATAAATTTCATTAAAGTGTATTTATACAGATAGAGGGAGAGATTTCCTCTATCATGAGTAGTCTATTAAGAAAGATTTTCTTAGTTAGTTGAGAAACTCTTATCTTCTATCAAAAACTACATACTAATCGATAACTACTACTTCCTTGATCAACATGAGATGAAACCCATGATATTGGTTATCACTTTCTTCGACTCCTTGAGAAGCTTGATGCTCTTTATTAGGCTTTGGCGTTTGATAGCAATATTGGGAGATTCCTCGAGCATCCGACTAAGGCTGGACATGTCCAAATTGATGATCTGGTTACTTATCTCCTCTTTTAGATTGTTTTCCACCTAGCATTTGATACTATACAGGATATGTAGGGCATGGCAATACACCAGCCCAAACAAAACATACCTCTAATATGTGGTTGGCCTTATCCTCATGTCAAGTGCACCTGCTCGACCAATCCATCAGTCGATGTGTTGCTTGAGGAGGCCAACTTCCATTGTACCATATCCTTTTATGTCGATAACTGTGGGTTAAATACGATCCTCGACAACCATCATGAATGCATCTCGACTAACGATAGATTAATGCATAAATAAAGGGTAAAAAAATTAGATTAAAATAAATAAATAAAGATGAAAAAAATTAAAATATGATATATTTTTTATTATTTCAAAAAATTATATTCTTATCTTCTAGCTAATATAAATAGGTGTTTTTGGATCAATCCAAAGGATTGTATATTGGAGATACTTCTATTTTCCTCTAGTAAATGTAAGAGAAAAAAAAAAACAAGCATCGAAGTAAATATTCTTAATCAATTTTTTTCTATCTTCAAAGGTGAAAATTATCAATTTAAGACTGTTAAAATAAAAACTAATCATTCCATAAGGATTGTGAAATTTGATAGAGAATGGTTTTATTGAGTATGATATATAAAATCCTAAAATTACTAGAGATCAAAAAGATTAAATGAATGAAAATATGCAGAAGTATACAAGAGCTCTCTACATGCTACAATAAATAATAGATGAGTATCTATTTTCTTGAATCGCATCAACATCAACAAAAAAATTAAAAAATATGTTTGAAGGCACAGGTAAATATTTCAAAGCTTCAAATTTGAATTTGAAACTCACCATAACTTTAAGTTATAAATATTTTGAATTAAGGATGTGTGATAAGATTAAATCGAATAGTCAGAATTAGATAAAATAAAAGATAAAATTTTATATTATAATAATAAATGAGGGTAAAAAGATTTATTGAGATATGGTGAATTTTTCATTATTTAAAAAAACTTATACTTTATCTTTGTCTAATATAAATAGGTGTTTTAGGATCGATCTAAAGCATTGTAGCTTGGAAGTAAGTACTCCTAATTTCTTCATCTTATTTGTGTCTCTTGTAGCGTATAGAAGACTCTGGTATCTTTATGCATATTTTGATTCATTTAATATTTTTAATCTTCAATAATAGTAGAATCCTGTAGATCATACTAAACAAAACTATTATCAATCAAATTTTATAATCCTTCTGAAATAAATAGAGTTTTTATTTTAACAGTCTAAAATTGATAATTTTCATTGTAGGAAGAAGTTGATTAAAAATATTTACCCTAATGCTTACTACCTTTTCCTTTTTTTTTTTTGGATCTACTAATCTTTCCTTCTTTTTTAATCGATATACTCTTGGAACAAGCTCTAATGCTATACCTATTTTGGATTGGTCTAAGAATACCTATTTATATTAGATAAAAGATAAAGTATAAATTTTTTTAAATAATGAAAAAAATCACTGTATCCTAATAAATTTCTTCACCCTTATTTATTCATTTTAATCTAAATTTTAATTTTAAATTTTTTTTTTATTTTATCCTACTTATCTAAATTAATCTCCTCACGGAATGCATCAATAGCACTCGTTAACAGCACAACCTCGATGCAAGCCCAAACCTCTGACACGAATTCACGCGGAATGTCAGCGATGACGGCGACTTCTTCTTCAGCAGGGTCAAGAAAGTGGCAAGCGGGAAGAAGTTGGGAAGACCGATCCCCTAAGCCTCCTCCTCCAAAACGGCAATTTCATCCGTCAAGAAGCTGTCGACAACAGTTAGCAACTCGAAGGAAGATGTTGGGAGTAACCGATGAGCTTCTCAGCCATTCGTGCTGGACATGTCAGTGTCGTCAGGAAACTCATCGTAGTCTCCGCGAAGGAGCACCTTCCTGAGTGATTACTTAGAGATGCTTACAATTCGTATCAAAGCTCGAATTCAATCGACCACGCCCGAGAGATTCTGTGTCATCTGGCCTAGCGCCGCCTCGTTGCGTTCCAGGTTGTCGTTGATCTTCTTGACGATATCCGGCAAGTTCTTTGCGATGCTCGCCGCCTGCATCTCCATCAGCTTACGAGCGAGGACGTGAACGCCGACGACGGACTTGCAGATCCTGCAAAGCACAGGGCGTTCTTGGAAGAGCTTCATCCCCTCCTATCGATGACAAGTCTTTTGCAGCTTCATCGACATCACATGTACATGTGTTATGGACTGGATCAACGAAGCGATGGCCCATTCTAACCATGGCTTCGTGCATAGGTCTTTGAATCGACATGTTTCTGTCAGCAATGACGATACGCTCGGATGCAGTCAAGGCATGAACGCATCACAGTGAAAGGGTCTTCGGCACTAAACTAGTGCTCCCTCGCTTTCCAAGCTAAGTGGCGGTGTTGGGGACATTGATGGAAGCTTTTTGGCTTCCATGAGTTTGACTCAGCCGGTCTCCCGATTCCTGCTCAGTTGCGACAAGTGAGTGTTCATCATCAGCTTGCACGCCATGTGATGATGAGGGTGGCAAGTCATTGTTTATGTTTTGTAGAACATGTAAAGTTGAGAGAGACCATGGTCGAATATTTTTGACCACACAAGTAAGACATTTAGACGGCCAAGTATGTTCACTTGCCTCTCACAAGTCTAAAGTAAGCATCATATAGTATATAAAGTTGGATTCTTTTGTTTAATGTCCTGTTGCAAAGCTGACTGTGAAACCTTATATGATACAAACAAGTTGCTAAAGCTAGTATTATATAAGCCTTTTTAGGATCATCGATTACCCAATCGAAAGCTAATACATATGACATCATAGATCAGAAAAGATATTTATGGAATATTTTATATCATGCATTGGAAATAATATGTAATATGCATAAATAAGTAGATCACTGCATCAGCTTGCCTCGTGATTGGTTTCGTGGAATTCGATGGCAGAAATCATGAGGGAGTTATTTCCCGGAGAAGGAAACAATGATGACGAATAATTAGATCCAAAGAAGAATAGAGTTCAATCATGTTGTTGTTGTTTGGTTGGATAAGGATGCTGAAATGCCACCAGTCAAATTGCATCGCTGCTGTCTTCTTCTTTGCGTTGCTTTCTCTAAGCTCGGAAGGACAGCATCCTCCACCCCCACCCTTGCAAGCAAAGCATATGATCTTTTTGCTGCACGCTCCAATCAACGATAAATCATTAGGCCTTCTAGATTTCAGAATCTCGTGTCCTTGTTGTGTGGTTGGCGTCCACTTATTAGACATCTTAATCAGAGTCATTAGGAGAGGAACACGGAATAATTGTTCTTCTCAGCTACTGTATTTGTATTAAATATTTAGAATTGAATATATGAATATTAAAATCTATATAGAGCAGTATCGAGGATTGGTGAGACAATATGTAGCTCATGATGATGATATAACTAATTAGATTGTGGCTCATATCGGTATATTTTTTTCTTTATTAATATACTCTACATTGATAATTATAAATTCATTCTAGTTGTTTTATTAGAATACTAACTCAAAAATATCAACCTATATGGTACAAAAATGTCAATCACATAAGACTAAGTTACCGAGTATGCATCGGACACTTCCTCATTTCGCTGTCAGGTAGACTTGATGTGGTTGCACCGAACTGATCACAAACTGTGTGGAATTTAGTGTAAAGGCGACAATGGACTTCATCAATTATTAATTGTCTATCATACTTGGAAAATTACCTTCCTTCTCGAACACTTTGATTCCCATCGGCACACAAATCCATTTCTTATATGTTGTTTGACTCACGTGCCATTTTCAATGTCACAGCCCAACACGATCTAATCGCTCTTTTTTGGGGCCATGTGTCAGAATCTGTATCGCCGGCACCGAAACGATAGCATCCAAAACAATTGTAGTGGGCAGATAAGGTGAGGCCACATTGAGCCGAGCACAGTGACCGGGGCACCACATCCACCGCACACGTGGATGGCAGCGGGCCCCCTCCGACGGCCGCCGAGTTTGAACTTTGAGCAAATCCCGTTCACACCTATTCCCTCACCGCACGCAGACCCACCCCCTTTTAGTACCCGTGGAATTGGGTCAATTCGGGTCCGCTGGTGCCTGGCTTTTCGCGCATTGAATGACCGGGCCCCACCAGCTTTGGCCACACCCGTGCGTGTCTATGGTGGAGAGTGCCCCCACAACCATGATTTGTAAAAGGCTGCCACGCCACCACTCGAGTGCGATAAGTCTTGCCACTAATAATGACATGCACTAATCCTAGAAATCTTTGACCGATAACATCAAGCGTGCTTGTCTATGCCATATATATTTATCTTCATCTTACTGATCTAACCTAAGCCCCTCCCAACATGAGTTGGGTCCATTCGTGGGTGCAGTCGTAACCCGAGTCGGGTGGTCGAGGACGCTGCCACCATGAGGGGACAGATCCCCACTGAGAACATTGACTTCTCACTACCGAACTTTGGATCGCCGGTGACTGTTTTGTGTCGTTCTTTTCGTCTTTCTCGAGGTCACATGAGGTTCGACAGGAACGTCTCTCGAGTCCGCCGACCCATCGAAGCGGACCCGAAATGGAGCCTCAAATCCATTTGATGTGGTGGTCGATTGACCCGAACCGAACCCGTTCTTGAGTAGATCGCGATCGGATGTCCCGCCGTATTAATTAGAGTCGATTTCTGCTGCGGTAGCTTAACCAGCATCGGCTTTCACGTTAGAAAAGGAAGAGCAGGCCCCGGATTAGGAAAAGTTGATCGTGACGACCACCAGATCGCGACCCAAAGCTCGGTTCTTCCCCCAGCACACAGAGACGAGGCCATTAAAATAAGAACCGGGAAATGATTCTTCACGCTCACTCATGCAACCAGTGCCCACCTCCCACCCACCTACATCTCTCTCTCCTCCCCTTCCCCGATGGTGCTTCCCTCCTTCCCCTCTTCTTCACCTTCCACACCTTGAAACTTCATGAACCAAGCAGAAGCAGTAACAACGAGTCACATGTGATTGCATTACGATGAGGCTGCTTCCACCGGTCACTGTTGTTCTTGCTGTTGTTTGCTTCTATGGCCTGCAGCTCGCCTGCTCGCTGAACCAAGAAGGACTATACCTGTTGGAGGCCAGGCGCGGCCTGGTCGACCGCTCCGACGTCCTCTCCAGCTGGGACGCCCGCGACGCGACCCCCTGCGCCTGGAAAGGCGTCACCTGCTCTTCCGCCGACCCACCCGTCGTCACCGCCGTCAACCTCAGCGGCCTCGACCTCGAGGGCCCCTTCCCTTCCTCCCTCTGCCGCCTTCCAAGCCTCACCTTCCTCTCCCTGTCATCGAACTACATCAACTCCTCCCTCACCGACGCCGACATCGCCGGCTGCGCCGCGCTGTCCCACCTCGACCTCTCGGAGAACTACCTCGTTGGCCCGCTTCCCGACGCCCTCGCGAAGCTGCCCCGCCTGACTCACTTCGTCATCACCAGCAACAACATCTCCGGCGCCATTCCGCCCTCTTTTGGCCACTTCCCTAGCATCGAGACGCTGTCGCTGGTGTCCAATCTGCTCACTTCCACCATCCCTTCCTTCCTCGGCAATCTCACCACGCTCCGCGAGCTCAACCTGGGGTACAACCCCTTTGATGCCGGGCCGATACCGGCGTCACTCGGGAACCTATCCTCGCTGACGAACCTCTTCCTCCCCGGCTGCAACCTCGTCGGCGAGATCCCGCCGTCGCTCGGCCGGCTCTCGCTGCTCACCAACCTGGACGTCTCCACCAACCACCTACATGGCAGCATCCCGCAGTTCGTCACCCATCTCTCGAGCGTCATACAGATCGAGTTGTACAAAAACTCGCTCTCCGGCCGCATCCCGGCTGGGCTCGGCAAGCTCCCCAACTTGCGCCGCTTCGACTTCTCCCTTAACCGACTCGAAGGGTCGCTTCCTGATGACATCTTCGACGCGCCGCTGCTTGAGAGCGTGCATCTCTACTCGAATCAGCTGAGTGGCGGCATCCCTGCCGGCGTCGCCCGCTCCAAGAACCTGGTTGATCTCCGGCTGTTCATGAACCAACTCACTGGCTCCGTCCCCCCAGATCTCGGCAAGAATTCTCCGTTGGTGAATCTCGATTTGTCGGAGAATTTGCTTTCTGGCGTGATCCCTGCGAGCATCTGTGACCGCGGCGCTTTGCAGCAGCTGCTCCTGATCGACAACTCCTTCTCTGGCAGGCTGCCCGACGGCCTTGGGAGGTGCCGGACTCTCGTCCGAGTCCGGCTCTCGCGCAACAAACTAAGCGGCCCGGTACCGAGCGGGCTTTGGGGTCTGCCGCACGTTTCACTCCTTGATCTGAACAATAACGCCTTCTCCGGTGGGATCTCCCCGGTCATCTCGAGTGCCGCCAATCTCTCGAAGCTCCTCATCGACGACAACCAGTTCTCCGGCAGCATCCCATCAGAAATGGGAGTTTTGTCGAAGCTGTATGAATTCTCCGCCGCCAACAACCGGCTGACGGGGCCGCTCCCTGCGTCGCTCGGCAACTTAGCAGAGCTCGGCCAGCTCAGCCTCCATGACAATTCCCTCTCTGGCGAGCTGCTCCGTGGGATCCAGTCCTGGAAGAAGCTCAGCGAGCTCAATCTCGCCAACAATGGATTCACAGGTGGAATTCCTCCGGAGCTTGGCTCTCTCCCGGTACTCAACTACCTCGATCTTTCCGGCAACAGCCTCACTGGCGAGATCCCCATACAACTGCAGAACCTGAAGCTGAACCAGTTCAACTTATCCAATAACGAGCTCTCGGGTGCTATTCCGCCTATGTTCGCGAGGGAGGCCTACCGCAGTAGCTTCTTGGGCAATCCGGGCCTCTGTGGAGACATCCCTGGGCTATGCCCTGTCTCAGGAGGAAGTGCCAGGGGTGGCCATGGGTTCACTTGGTTGCTTCGGGCGATCTTTCTGCTTGCCGGATTTGTCTTCATCGTTGGCATGGCGTGGTTCTACTGGAGGTACAAGCAATATAAGAAAGCCAGTGATAAGTCGAAGTGGACGCTGAGGTCGTTCCACAAATTAGGATTCAGCGAGTATGAAATCCTGGACAGCCTCGAGGAAGACAGTGTGATCGGCAGCGGCGCCTCAGGAAAGGTCTACAAGGTCGGGCTCAGCAATGGAGAGACAGTTGCAGTGAAGAAGCTGTGGGGAACATCGGAGAAAGATGTTGAGCATTTGGATCAGGTTGTAGATGATGCCTTTGAAGCAGAGGTAGCGACGTTGGGGAAGATTAGGCATAAGAATATCGTGAAGCTTTGGTGCTGTTGCAGTCACAAGGATCGTAAGCTTCTGGTTTATGAATATATGCCTAATGGCAGCTTGGGGGACTTGCTGCATAGCAGTAAAGGAGGGCTTCTGGACTGGCCTACGAGGCTCAAGATCGCCATGGATGCCGCAGAGGGTCTCTCTTATCTGCACCATGACTGTGTGCCACCGATCGTGCACAGAGATGTTAAGTCCAACAACATCCTCTTGGATGGAGAATTCGGGGCTAAGGTATCCGATTTCGGGGTTGCCAAAGCTGTCGAGGTGATCGGGAAGGGGCCTAAATCGATGTCGGCCATCGCAGGTTCTTGTGGATACATAGCCCCAGGTCTGTCAAACACCAAGCTTCTTTTAACTGGCCTCTATTTCGGTGATGATTGTTTGCTCTTACCTTGTTTTAACATTTATATGTCTTATTTCCGATTCTTAATTCTAATGATTCTTGATTCTAATCCTCACGAGATCTTTGGCAACCTTAGGATATGAACATCTGGTCTTCTCTTCTCTTGCTCATGCAATAGTTGCTTGCACATGTTAAATTGCAACTGAGATGGTCACCTACCTTTTAAGTTACATGAAGTTGATTAATTGTGTTTGCAAGCTTATGATACTTGCCCTACTTCTCATTAAACTCTTGGGTGGCTCAATTGTTGATTTTTTTTGTGATATCTATTCGACTACTTTAGAATTTTGTATACTGTTTTTAAGCTATAGATGTGTTTTCATCTTGTATAGCCTAAGGTTAGAATTATAGCAAAAGGATTAGTCTATTATGTCTTTTCGTCGGATTTGCATAATCTCACTATGTAATGATACTAATTTTGTTGTCCCTGTTTGATTATCTTGATACATCTAATGACTAGGTCTTGTTATAACACTTATGTTGTTCATAATTCGAGACCAATCTTTCTTAGTTTGATGTGTTCTCTCTTTGCCCGAAAGATCGCATACGAGCCTAAGAGATCATTAGAGCCTACGATAACACTGTTCTTGACCAGCTTCTATTCATATTTCAGTCCAATTCAATGCTTAAATTGAAGTTGTAGATTCACTGAATGACTTCCAACGTACTGCAGAATATGCATACACTCTTCGGGTGAACGAGAAGAGCGACATATATAGCTTCGGAGTGGTAATTCTAGAGCTCGTAACAGGGAAGCTCCCCGTCGATCCTGAGTATGGAGAGAAAGACCTGGTGAAGTGGGTATCTGTCGCAATGGAACAGAAGGGCGTGGAGCAAGTGATCGACCCCAAGCTCGATATCTCCCACAAGGAGGAAATCAGCATTGTCCTCGACATCGGTCTTCTTTGTGCCAGCTCCCTCCCCATTAATCGTCCATCGATGAGAAGAGTAGTGAAGATGCTGCGAGAAGTAAGCATGCAAAACAAGCCCAAGACTCCGAAGAAGGATGGGAAGCTGTCTCCTTACTACTATGAAGACCGTTCTAATCAAGGGAGCACCGTATGAAGATGGCCTTTCTCCCGTTGCGCCAGAAGCTAATGGCAAACACTCAAGTCTAATTCGATATCGATTTGCAACTTTAGACAGAGTAGCTCACAAGGCCTGAAGACAGTAGTGTAGATCTACTGGCTTATTCCTGGCAGAGTAATCCCTGGCTTACACACATTTATTGGACTTCTATATGGGTAATGGGGGTGTTCTTGAGCAATTAGCTTAAGTATTTTATGTCAGTAATGACTGGTCTTTTTTCCTATTTGCTGGTGGCCAAGCAGTGTACCATCAATAGTTACTAATATGTTGTTATGCTTCTCTTTTTGGATCATTGGATGTGCGTGACCAGTAGCAGAAATATGCCATTGATTGACAAGTATATATATATATATATATATATATATATATGAAACACCGCGAAATCAAACCACTTGTGTCCGCGGCTACCTTGTTCTTCTCGTCCTTACCCTTTTGTCTCGTCATCGGCCTCCGGTGAAGGAAAACCCTCTTCCAATGCCGTTCTTCTCCTTCCACTACATTAATTACCTTTCTATTTGTCGGCCGCTCGGTGCCGGTCATTGTCGTTCTTCGTCCGGTCATTATGACGCCGCGCAATCCCTTTTCTTTACTTCCCTTCCTTCTCTTTTGTTGCCTTCCTGTTCCGAAACGAAAATTTCAAGCAGGAATCCCCCGACCTGCCTTTCTCGCGTGCATCCCCTCTTCATCCTATTTGCCTTTCCCGTCTCCTCCTCCCTGGTCCTGGGGTTTCTTACTTCTTGTTGGTCGAGGGTTTGACGTAAGGGATGGATCCCGGGGAAGGAAACGGCGAGAAGAGGGCGCTCGACGGGGAAGATCTTGTCTCGAACAAGAAGCTGAGGAAGAACCGTTTCCATGTGCGGGTCCTCCAAGATGCCTTCTATGGTTCGTGAGATCTGAATATTTATTGTGCATCTCGAGTGGTGGGTCTTCGATCGGTTTGTCTTCGATGCGAATTCTTGGTTGGGATTTCAGTTAGTGGAACGGTGTTATTCTCTTTCTTGTGCATCTTGATGGGTGGGTTTCGAATTTGGATCTGTTTGTCTTAATACGAATTTTTGGTCAGGGGCACAGCACCCGTCTGCTGCGAAGAAGGCGGAGCTTGCTGACCAGACCGGGCTCACGCTCGAACAGATGCAGGCGTGGTTTGCCATTAGGAGGGCCTACGATAGCTGCAGACCGTGGCAGAGGAAACCCTCGGATGAGAATTCCATTGATGATCCAATGGAAGGTGCGATTGTCCTTTCTTTGCCTGCCCCCATGATTAAGTCGAGATGGTTGCCGGTAAGGCCACCGCAGGTGATTGGTCGTTGACCGCTTCAACAAGTGGGACACAGTTGCCTCCTCCATCAGATGACATGCAAGGTAATATCATAATTACAATCTTTGGAGCAAATATATCCACTCTTTAGTCTTACTTGCAAAGGGTTGCAATAAGTATTTGGAGTTACATAAGTATAATCTGTGGCACAATTGCAGCATTTTGTTTTTCTATTAAAATCAACGGAACTCAGTTGGGAAAGATCCACAATATTTGGAAGTTGCATCTTGTTTTTCTATTGTTTTAGCAATTTCTTTGAACTCTTCTTGCATAGTCATCTATTTTGATTGCAATAGGTCTTATACATATTTCTGTGTAGTAGTGTGTTGAAAAACAGTAGAAAATCCTGCATGTATCATGATGTGTACTGCTTGCTCCATTTTCTGTTTGATGAAAGTGCATTATTCTCAGATCAGGATGTGATGAGGTTAATATGACACATGATCTATTACACTATAAAAGCTGGGTATTCTGAGCTCTATATGTGATTGCAGACACAAGAATTATTTCTTCCTCAGCTTTTCCACTTTCTGATCTGTTCAGGAACAGAAATTAAGCCTTTGATACATATTAGTCATGCACTTGAATCTAATTTGACATTAACAACTTTGAGATTGGTGTCAAGATCTGCTAGCGGTGATATGATTGAGGTCACTCGGATTGGATGGAGAATCAAAATTAGCCAAGAATTATTTGTAAATAAATAATAGCACGTTCTTGGGAAACACTCATATTAGAACCTCAAAGTTAGATTGTTCTGCCTGGAATTTAAGCAATGATATTCTTGTTTTAGATGTGGAATTTTGAATGGTTTTCTTAACTGAACCCAGGAGCAGGATTTGGTTAGATGAAAGAGTTGGAGTTCCATGTGAGTTCGCGTTCAGAGTAGGAATAGGTTTTAGATTCAGGGCTGCAATCAGTAACCTCTTCTAATTTTACTATGGCTGGAATCAGTCTACACAAATGTGTTAGGCCATGGTGATTGGCACCTTTGTGGTAGCAAGAAATTGAAGTAAAACAAATCTATAATTGCTAGCGCTGAATTTTACTATATGCCTCTTGAGTATCAGTGCATTTTCTTTAAGAATATATTGTTAATTATCTATATTTAGAAGAGAGATGTAATGTCTGATCAAGATGAAAGAAATTGTTAGTATTAAAATAATTAATGGAAAAATAATAAACTTATCCTTGAATTTCCTGTATGAAAATAATTAAGTAGCAAACTCTTTCCTTGTCATTAATTAAACCAATCCTTGAACCTGCTTCTTTTCTCAAATCTGATCCAATTGACACATTATTTCGGTGAAGAATTTATAAACATGATTCGGAGGCTGTAAGGACAAGCACTGATCATAGGACTTGTTTGTTCTCGATGATTTACATGAGTATTGTGCACCTATGATTTTGTGGTATTCTACATATTGCAATATCACGTTTTTTGATAACTTACGGTCCGTGGAATAAATAAAATTGTGCATTAATTGATTAGAAACCTGAATACATGATATCAAAGATTAGACATTAGAGAAAATTTCATTTGGTAATCTTTGGTCATTTAAAGTTGCTCTAACTAAAGGGTTGAGGGTGAACACAAGGTTCGGACCTTTGATTGTGATTGCACTTTATCATTTCAAACAGTGGCTCACATAGTAAATGAGTTTGTTGACACAAGGGATCCGGCATTATCACTAAAAAAGAATCCTGAAACAAAAATTTAATTAAAGGATATAATATGCCTTTTTTTTTTTGGCATCCCATGTGTCTTAAAGCTTCCCCGATCATACCAATGTAATAAATGTTATAATCTTTTTCTTGCATGGCCTTCTTTGAGTGATTTTCCTATAACTTCTCTGTGTTGTTTACATCATCTATTAGTGCAAGGGAGCTATTATATCGAAGAAAACCTTGCTCGAACATGATTATGTTTTATGCCAAATGTGTACAAATAAAAGTAGGCAGTGCAAAATTCATGAATTACTCATATTTTCATGAGTATTTTAGTCCAATGATAAAAAATTGTTTGTGTTTTATCCTTTGTAGATTCTGCACTGTAGGAATCTAAGATTGTTTGTGTTTTATCCTTTGTAGATTCTGCACTGTAGGAATCTTCATACTGTTTCTTTTTTTTTTAGGGTTCTTGAAAAGACCACTTTAATGACCACCGAAGTGAAATATAACAAGGAGGTCTGTATGATCTGGTCTAGGTAGAGTTCTCGAGGAACATTTGCCATAAGCTGTTCAACATACGCAAAAAATTCCTGATCTATTATATTGTCAGTTAACAGTTAAACATATTGTCATTTATGAGTAATATATATATATATATATATATATATATATATATATATATATATATATATCCAAGTAAAGGCAGGTTCTGGAATAAAAAGGAGTTAGCATGTAACTTTCTTGTTTCAGAAAAATCTGTTTGCTGTCTTTTATTTGCTACCATATGTTAATTTTAGTACATTCTAAATAAGCAGAGGAAATAAGAAATTTGTTCTCTTTTCAACTTGATTACTATGGGTGTCATGAAATTTAAGGAGTTGCACTTCAAATCTAAGAGAAGAAGGAATGTCTTGCTGGGACTTCCATGCAGTGCAGTTATTTATCTAGGTAGCTCTGACTAGATACATGTAACATATGACCTTGCTATGTTGATTAACTTAATTACACATTAAGAAAGATACTAGTTGTTCATTGTAAGTTGATGATAAACCTCAACCTCTAAAGTTCAACTTGGATTATCTAGTGGCACAAATACAAAATTTATAACAAACAGAGCTTTTTATTACCATCAGTTTGATGTATTCTGATGATTATTAATAATCATGCCAAATCGCTCCATGTTTTAGTTAAGTGTGCTACAGCTACTTGCTTAAAAAAAATGATGTCCAAAAGCTTTTATAGAGTTACTTCTTTTCTTCCATATGTCAGACTAGCTTCCCTTGCACCAGCCAGAGATGCTTACAAATACGTGACAAAAGCTCTTTATTGCCTATCATTCTTTCTCATGCACGTATACTAGGAAAATTTTTCCTTCTCTTAAACCTGCATCAGGATCCATAGACTACCTATGAGATATTTTTGTTTTTTTTTGTTTTTTTTTGTGTATATCAGGTCAACCATATATGGACCTCGATTTTCTCCCAGTTCTAAGCTGACATTTTTCTAACAGTGTTGGTAACATCACTTTTGTTATATATTCTACTTGTCTTTTAACAGTGTTGTTGACATCACTTTTCTTAATATATAACAGGTTTTTTTTTTTACGACAATAGCTGATAGAGAACTAATCTTATTTATCTCCTATTCAAATAAATTTGAGTAGTTTAGAGATTATTTTGTGTATCATAAGTTGTGGCAACATACTGAATAATTCTGATCTAGTTTTCTCTTTTACGTAAGGAAAAAAATAAAATAAAAAATTAAATTATGATTATGATTGAAGATTTTAAATTCTGATGAAAAATTTTATAAAGATTGATTTTTATGAAGATGGAAGTATATCAATTAAGATTATTATTTCTTCGGAAAGATTATATCATATATTTTGATTTAATTATATTTTTTATTTTTATATTGTAATTGGTTTGATTATTTTTTTTTTACATACTTTAACTTATAAAAAGGAGGAAGAACATTGTAATGCAAAATCAATAAAAAATAATCAACGAAATGAGTTTTGTTTTGAGTGTGAATAGTACGAGTCAATATTTATTTTCTAATGATATGATTATGTCGTTTACGTTCGAGAGTAATTGTCAACCGGAGTTTTTGACGTTTTCCTGTAGTCTATCTTGTAATGTAAAGGTCTGTGATGTGACTGACAGAGAGTGGTTTCTTTGCTTCAGGTGGGAGTTGGGCCAATAGCCTCGTCATACTTTCTACCGTCTAATAGATGGGTTAATAAACAAAAAGAATACGTTTCAAGTTGGGTGTTGTAAACTCGAGAGGAAAGCACGATTGTGACCTCGAACACTTGTTCGTCAGAGTGGGGAACTGCTGCAGAAGTTTTCCGGCACCTTTTACGATTCCATTTCTCATTGACATCGTTGCCTATGCAGTTTTGTGGTCCTCTGCTTATCCATCATTTCAGTACCTGCCTTTTCCTATTGTGTCATTTGAAAAGATTACTAGAATTGATGAATGCCACAACTGTTATCCTTAATAGCACTTAATCACTTGTTTTCAGATGGAATTAGTGGTTTTTAAATTAAGATCCACAAGATGGTATATACATATATATAACAGATCCTTCTATCAACCTACTTCCCAGGATTTATTATTTATTCATTTATTTTTTCATTTGTGAAGGTGAAAAGGAACAAGGTAGTGTGCTCCGAAGAACAATGTGCAGAAGGATAAATCTGACTGTTGACAACCGAGTGGGAGAAATAGGAGGTAAAAATCTGGTTCCAGCTGAAATATTTATCTCTAAACAGGCTGTTTCTGATTTCTTGGTTTAGGCAAAGGGGATGGGGGGAGGTTTTTGAAAGTTCTCGAGGAAGAGGAACTTTTGGCCGATCTCTTGAAACCCAAGTCCATCCAAAGAAACAAACATACTCTTGATGACAATATTTCTCTTTTCCCAAACCCATGTTGGCATCTTATCTCTCTCTCTCTCTCTCTCCTTCCCTTGTTCCAGGCAGTAGTAACTTGGGGTCTTGGAAAAGCATCAAGTGGTGGAAAAGATGTGGAAAGTTGGAGCTAATCCTGGGGCAAAGCGTGGAGAATATACTAGGCTTACAAACACTCCAAACGCTACATTCCAAGCTGCTACGTAGTAAAACAAAGCTTTGGAGCGAAGCAGTGGCATCAGAATCCCCAGGATAATATCCAAGCCTTGTACTAAAGTCAGCTCACAAGCCGACGATTCCCCACCCTTCAAAAAATTCACTCCTCTCTCTCTCTCTCTCTCTCTCTCTCTCTCTCTCTCTCCTCC